ATGCTAATAATTTTTAGGACATCCCAAAAATGTAAGTACTAAAAATTATATGGGCTAGAAGGGAGAATTTAAATATACGGACTACGGAGTATCGTTTTTCAAAACGACTTGGTTCTCTCTAATCTATTCAAGATCACTACCCATGTTAAAATGTCTACATTAATACGGAGTAGTTGTTTTTGTCATTAAGGAGAAAATTTACTAAGAGCATATAAAACTGTTGAAATAAGTAGATGTACTTTTAATTACTATCCTCTTCATTCCGTTAAATTGTCTCATCTTTCACATATCAATCACATAAACTCAGTTTTCTTAATAATGAATTCACCTCTTTATGTCTCAATGTTAGTAGGATGAATGAAGTAGTCCATAATATATATGTGTATTTCTCTCATGTAGCATGTCATTCGTGCACATTGTTGCATTGGGAATGCTCTGAATTGGCGATCATTTTAGAATCATTCTCATTTGTGAGGGAATATAAAAGCTTATCCTCCCTTCGCTTTTTATTAGTTGTAACCGTATTCCTTTTTGGAAAATATTTCGTTGTTTTTCTATCTTTTCCTTTTTTTAGTAATTATTTCCTATAAAAATACATTTATATTCTAACTTTTGTCACCCCCTAACTTCTTTACGGTTTACAAACTACTTCTTGTTTCATACTTTCTTTAGAAAATCATAAAATACCCAAGGTGACTATTGATTAAGAAAAGATAGACCAAGGGAGCATTACTTAATTGTAATTATATCTATAGGAGGCGTTTACTTCGTTGCTAAAGTCACAGTTAGGTTAGTAAGACAGGTAAAGTAAACACGCAAGTTGCTTAAAACGGTGTTTAATAACCGAAAGAGGTGCTTAAAGTGCCGCTTACTAAGCATACCACTCTCCATGTATTAATTAAGCGGCACTTTAAGTTTTTTCAGTTTCCGAATTTACCCTTACTTTACCCTATTGCTAACCCCACTACCCCGCCCTACCCTACCTTACTCCGACCCCGACCCCAACCCCACCCTGACCCCAACCCCACCCCTTGACCCGACCATACCACACCCCCACCTTACCCCTACCCCGACCCTACCCGCCACCACCTGCCCTAACCCACCCCACTCTCACCCCTTACCCACCCCTTTACCCCCTACCACCTTCCCCTACCTTGACCCGACCCCACCCCTACCCCCTGCCCCTACCTCGACCCACCCCTACCTCCTGCCCCTACCTCGACCCACCCCTACCCCTACCCTACACTTACCCCCCCCCACCATACCCCCACTTGTACCCCTTACCTCGACCCTACCATTTTACCCCTACCACCTGCCCCACATCAACCCCACCCCACACCCCGACCCCACCCCTTTTCCTTACCCCCTGACCCTACCTCGACCCACCCCTACCCTTATACGACCATACCCCTTACCCCCTAGCCCCACTTGTATCCCTTACCTCGACCCTACCCTTCCCTACCACCTGCCCCTACCTCGACCCCACCCTGACCCCACCCACTACCCCGACCCCTACCCCTTTATCCCATATCACCTGCCCCTACCTCGACCCAACCCTTACGAGAAGGGTGGGGGTTGGTATGGGTGGGAGTAGGGGTGGAGGGTAAGGTCGTGGTAAGGGTAGGGAAGGGGTGGGGGTCAAGGGTGTTGGGGATAGGGTGAGGGGTGGGGGTCCAGGGCGGGGTAGGGGTTACGGGTGTGGGAAAGCGACTAAGCGTATGAGGTGACCCCACATATTATATTATATAATTGTGTTCATGAATGTTTGTGTGTGTATATATTTATAGAGTTATTTTGGACATTTTAATGTTAAACTGTGTTTTAAATCCTTTGAAGTAAACATGAGCTTACAACACCATTTATTTAATGCGCCGCTTATTAACACGAGTCTTAATAAGCACCGTTTACTAACCCGAGAAGTAAACGTGTCTATAGTGTTTTACTTAGACTCCGTACTAGTTTTATGGCAATCTTGTTATTCTATATATATACGTACTACGGAGTATAACGTATATCTTCTAACTACTTGTAAACAAGTGAGTTGCACGTGCTGTTTTTTCAAATATACGGAGTATACAGTTATACACCGTTCTAACTTCTAGCTAGTTGAAAAGGAGTAAAGCCTCATTTGTAGAATATTTGTCACGAAATGGATATGTACAACAAATCTTGCAAAACAAAGCATATAGTACGAATATTTATCCCAACTGTGGGAAGATACCCCCAACTTAGAATATACTCCGTATATAGCAGTTTAATTGGCAAATTATACCGTGCAACCGGCGCACCATGAGGATGGTGCGCCCGGTTGCAAAACGACGTTCCCTCCCCCCCTCCCTTTTTTTTTACTTTTGTTTTTAAAAATGATAATAACTTTTTTATTTTTGATCCGATTTTTATAAAATTTATATCAACATTTTTTATTTTTCATTATCTTTCAAATGAGACCAATATTGCTAATGTAATTTTAAGAAATTATCGAACTATTATATTAATGAGTATTGGATTATAAGGAAAATCGAATCTGTTTGGGAGATGATAGGTTTGTGAAATAGAAGATCGAATCTGTTTGGGAGTGGATCAGTGGCCTCAGTCACATTTGATAATACAATGAGTTACATCTTTTTATAAGCAAGTTACATCTTTTTATAAGCAAGTTACATCTTTTTAAAAGCGAGATACATATATATAAACACGAGTTGCATTTGACATGCCTGAACGCGACTTACATATATTTACACGTAAAGTTACATATTTTTACACGTAAAGTTACATATTTATATACGCGAGTTACATATTTATACACACGAGTTGCATTTGACCTGTCTGAACGCGAGTTACATATTTTTTTACGTAAAGTTACATATTGTTACACGTAGAGATACATATTTATACACACGAGTTGTATTTGGCCTGACTGAACGTGAGTTACATATTTTAACATGTAAAATTACATATTTTACACGCAAATGTTAATATGTTAAAATTACATAGGCAATATTGGTCTCATTTGAAAGATCATGAAAAATAAAAAATGTTGATATAAATTTTATAAAAATCGGATCAAAAATAAAAAAGTTATTATCATTTTTTAAAAACAAAAGGAAAAAAAATATAAATCCGTACCCGGTATACGGTGCTCACCGTACACCGGTCGTACGGTATAGGCACTCAGTTGAATTTGGCATACACACTTTTTTAGTGTAGGCTTTTTTGTTGTCTATAAAGAAAAATAAAGTCTACAGACATGTGCAAAAGTGTGTACAAATAACGAGTGAGTAAAAAAGTACGTATTTTTGTATATATAGTACTCCTAATGTTCGTTTCTCAAACTAACTTAGAAATTCAATTGTGGAATATTATTAGTAAATGTATTATTCAATCACTTGCAAATTAAATGAATGCATGTAGTATTAATATGTTTTAATACTATTCGCTTTTTATTTGATTTTATTTTATTGTTTGGTGAGAAAAAGTATTGAACGATTGAAATGAATAGACGTAGTACAAATTAAACTAAACCGAAGAACTCAATTAAGTTTTATAATATGATGGTAACAATCTAAAAGTTAGACTTTTTCATGTAACAATATTTTATATAGAGAATTCCTTAAATAGGAGTAAAAAAATTTGAAATTTCAAAATAGGAGTATCATGTTTTTTATTCCTTGAATAGGAGTAAATTTGTGCCAAGTTTGACATTATTAGGCTTTAAAACATGGCATTTTTTTTCAAACATGGCAAATACTCCTATTCAAGGAACAAAAAACATGACACACCTATTTTGGAAATTCAAAACGTTTTTGCTCCTATTTAGAGCAATTTCAATATTTTATAGTATAAGCAATGAGAATCAGTTGTAATTTTTGTGTTCGTGTTCATTTCGTTATTGTTCACAAATAAACAGCGCCCCATTGGGGTTGCTCTAAGGAAATTGAATTGTTTTCAAAAAAAAATAGATAACTGACTGATTCCTTGACAAACAATCGAGTAAACAAACACTGTACTACTCCCTCCGTTCCCAAAAATACTTCCCACTTTCCTTTTTGGACCGTTTACAAAAATACTTCCCACTTTCCCGTTTTGGACAATTTGTGTGATTCACATTCATTTTACCCTTTTCTTACACAACTACAACCATACATTTCCACTTTATTCCACTTTCTTAATAAGCGTGCCAAGTCAAACCGGGAAGAATTTTTAGGAACAGGAGGTAGTATAAATTAGCAGAATCAACCGATTCAGCTGATTTTAGTATAATTGAACCTCATTTTGGAACACTGGTAGTATTATACGGAGTACATATTACTCCCTCCGTCCCAAAAAATACTTCTCACTTTCCTTTTTGAACAATTCCAAAAAATAATTCTCACTTTTCTTTTTTGGACAATTTGTGTGGCTCACATTTATTTTACTTTTTTCTTACACAACTGCACCCATACATTTTCACTTTATTTCACTTTCTTAATAAGCATGTCAATTAAGAGGCTTTTTGGCAATACTGTTTTTCGGCTTATCAGGCTTATCAGCCAACTTTTTCACCAAACACGTAACTTTTACTTTTGCGTGCTGAATTGTGTCATAAGCAGAAAAAGTAAGGTTGGAGTTACTTTTGTGGCTGTATTGGCTGAAGTTACTGTAAATGATCATTTTAGCTATTTTTACATATAATTTTTTATTTATTTTATTAATAAAATATATTTTAAAAATATTTTTTTCTTAAATCACCAGAATCAACCAATACAGCCACTTCAACCAGAACTTCATAAATTTCAGCAAAATCAGCCAAATCAGCCGATTTTCATACTACCAAACGGGCTCTAAAACCGAGAAGTATTTTTTGGAATGGAGGGAGTATATTTTAAACTAGATAGTAAATTTGTTGCAAGACGCGTAGAATTGGGCATTGTCCATGTTCTCGATTGAAACTTTGACCATTCACTAATGTTGTGCAAATCTTGATTGGAATTTTAAAGCCCAATTAAAAACACTAAATTTGACAGAATCGGTTAAATTTACTGATCAATGACAATACATTCTAGTCGGGCAACTAAATTATTACAAGAATAGAAGTAACTAGATCCAATCTATGTTTGGAAACTCCAAGTGAAATCTCCTCTTCATTTAGATCATACCAACATTGAAGAGTGAGGACTATTTAGAAGTTAGCAACATTAGTTCATTCATAACCATTGATTTGTAGACAGCAAGTGATTAAGCACCAACTCATCAATAGAATAGATGAAGAAAAAGCCTCACCATAAAAGGGGGCAGTAGAAAGCAATTTGAACTAAAAATGGGGGATTAAGCAAAATAATGAAACAGCTGCCAATTTCCACTATTGCCCCTATCCAAAGTGTATAATCCCATCAACTTCAAGTTATCCATAATCCCCTGGATTTATGGATATCTCCTTCCACTTATCAAGTTAGGGGAGACCGCTGGGGAACACCCTTCCTCCTGTTATTCACGGCGCCGGTGATTTCCATGACCGGACAAAAACTCCGCCGGAGCTCCGGCGATCGGAATGATAGCAAGTTGCTGCGTTTCTTTCGGACCACCTCAGTGGTGGCAGTGCAGCAGAAAGTCCGGCAATCCACCACGCCGGAGGGGCTCCCGCTGCCACCAGAATCGGTCTTCACAGAACCAGCCGGTTCGAGGACTGTGTTGGGAGTCATCAGACCGTCTTCCAGATCCCATTCTTGCATTGTCCGACGGTCATAACTGTGAATATGCTTTGCAAGCTGGGACCCACTCCTCAGAAGATGTTGCAGCTGATCCATTAACAAGAAAATGATTTAAATTCATTGTTTCTAATTAAATGGGAGTGCTTTTTCAATTGAAACCTGATATAGTGGCAATACGGCTTATTTGGGTAATTGTCATAATTAATACCGGAGTAAGAAATTAAAATAAGTAGAATGACTGGTTTTTATTTGAGAAATTACCCAAAATATGACTAAAAACGTTTGTATATTCAAAGGTAGGATTATCATGTTATTATTCCCAAAATATGACTAATTACTGTCATGTTTTGGCAGTAGACTTCAAACATTGACAATATTTTCCAAACTTAGCAGTAATTACTCCTATTTTGGGAATAAAAACATTACAATCCTATTTTGGAATTTTCAAACTTTTTTAATCCTATTTCAGGAATTTTCCCATTTGAAAGTTTAAGGTTATAAGGAGTATTAAAATAAGTGAAAACGTTGTTTGATAAATAGATGTTTGATAAATAGATGTTCGGCCAAACCGTTTTTAGATGAAACGTTGAAATATGTTATTTTCTACTAATTGTTATAGCCAAACAGATATACTACCAAACATCTTATGGCAGCTCGTCAATTTATCCCATTAGCCAAACATGTTGTCTGAATCCATTATTGATAATCCGCTAACATATCAACTAACTGCAAATCGTTGAAAGCTTCACAAACATACTCTTTGAGAAACAAAAATGATGTTTGTACACACTCTTATACACACTTTTGTACACACCTATGTCTGTGAAAGCTTTTTTTTTCTGTGAACATCGATTCACAGACAATGTTTTGCACAAACAAAATATTATCTATGAATCGGGTTCACAAACAAAAAAAAGCTTCACAAACATGACGTGTATAAGGTGTGTACCAGTGCATGATTGAGAAACAAAAATGTGCAAATATGGGGGTGTTTGGATCTGGAAGCAATTTTTTAGAAGATGAGGAAGACTAGCTTCTAAAAAACCGATTCCAAATGTGCTTTTGCTTAAAAAAAGAAGTGAAAGCCCCTTATATCTCAAGTGGTAGATATGCCCCTAAAGTTTTAAAGGTGCAAAAACTTTATAAAGTTCATAATGTGAAGCGAATGTACCCTTTTTAATAAGAATTTATCTTAATTGATTCTAAATAAATAAAGAATACTGCATATATTTTTAAAAATAAAAATAAATAAGTTAATGAATGCATTGAGTTTAGAAATTAAAAAAAACATTTTGTAGTATCAAATTTTATATACTTTTATTTTTTTGAAGTACTTTGGGAGTAAAACATAGTTAAATGCTTAATATTTTATATCACATTTTGCAATTAATATGTGCTTAATTCTATGAGGAGCAATTTCTTTAATCTACTTCATTATTCATTACTCCAAAATACTTAAATGCTTAAATAAAATTTAAAAGAATTATTAAATAAAATTAATAAAATTCCAGGAAAAGGCAATTTAAAGTAGCAACCTAAGTATACTGTTCCATTATATTGCCGCAACTCTATGGTCTAGCACTCTAACCAAACAGTAAATCTATCTACATGATAACCGTGATAAAAATTCCAAGAATAAAAGCGGGATCTTTTTTTTTACTGAGAAGCGAGTAAAAGTCAAACCTTGCAGGAAATTGAACAAAACAGATATGGGTTCTGAAGGACTCTGTCACAAATCAGGCAAGGGTTGCCGGAGCTTCTGCAAGTCTTGGAAAACGGCCGGCTTTTCAAGAACACTACTTTCGCCCCATTATTAGTGTATGACTGCATAAATACAAACAAAATCAAGAAACCCATATAATCCCAGAGAGAAACAAACAGAAATTAAATTTCATAAAATCAAGAAACCGCAATTACCTGAACATAATCACAATCCAGCAACTTCTGAGCATCGCTGAGCTTTATAACATCATGGTAGACATATCTTCTGACCTGGGAAAGACAGAAAAACTCACATTTCCAGTGGAAGTAATTAAACATAGCAGAAAAAAAAAGAAACAGGGGGGAATTCGGAATTAGGCATTAATTACCTGCAGAAGACGGTGGGGATGAACACAGTGAGGGCAAATAGCTTCAGAGCAATCCAAGCAAAAAATGTTCTTTTCGTTCTTCTTGGCATCCTCATGGTCTATGCAGGCGTTGAAGAACTTCTCTGTCAGCAAAGCTAGAAGCCATTCGGGAAGATGAGAGGAACCATCCAACTGCCGTAAAAATTCAAATTTAAGAATAGTAATTCGATATTACAGTAGTAATTAATTAGTAAATAGCCCTTCTGCAAAAATTTAACTAGTAGTGATAAAGAGATTTGAAGGATGGAGCCAGAGCCCACCATTTTTTGCTCTGTTTCTGTGGTAAATGCCTCGGTGAGAGGGAAAGGAAAAGGAGACGGCGCGAGGGACTGAAACGTTTGGGCGTTACTGTGACCAATGGAAGGGGAGGGAGAGGAGAGGGGTTGGGCGCCTATTAATTAAAGCTGGTGGCGTGTGATGGCATACGTATATATATCTGTGCATGGTGATAGACAGTGATGGATATTGGTACTCACAAATTCCATTTAATTAATTGTCTTAAGCAGTGTCTTTATGATTGATGGATATGAATGGGTAAATCAGTAAATTAGATCGGCATGATCAGTTTAAGAGGAAGTTTAGCAATATTGAAATTTATTAGTGGATTTTAACTACAATTTCATCAAGCTCATCAACTCGTAAATAATTCTCAAAATAGTGAAGGGTTAAAAAAAATTATCAAAATGATGTTGGAGTTAATTATGGTTAGGGAAAGTCGTCATTTTAAGTGTCAGTTCTATAAGCTGTCAGTCCAAATGGTAGCTCTCCTATGCGGTAAATGCGAGCACAACCTATTCAACCCCCAAAAACAAGAAAATGCTCCTTATAACTCAGTCGACTCAAAAAAATCAATCTCGTACTCTTTATAGTCAATATATGTTGCTAAAAAAACATATCTGAGACACAGAATGAATCAATGGAACTACATTAGATCACGATATCAGAATTATAGCATGAAGTTGATAATAAATTTGGTGTTTCACAAAATAGTTCAATCAACTAGTACATGTTTCACACAATAATGTGAAGTACAAATATCACAGGTCAATGTGATCATCATCATAAAACTCATGTGGTTGTGACTTTGCTTGAGATCGGGGGTGTTTGCGTTGATTACGAGGCTGAGAACCAGTGCCGTTTTTTAGGAGGTTCAATAGGTTATCCAGAACATGACCCCCAAATTTATGGGGCCCCAAAATTTTAAGATTTTATTAGTATTATATAATACTTCGTAATATTATACTACATATATTAATAACTAACCAGTAAAACACGGTTAGTGAGGAAGAAAAATATAGATTCACCGTTTTCTTCGTTGGTCGTTTTAGTTTTCTTTACTCAAATTGCTTGAATAATGAGTTGTGTTGCTTTAAATCAAATATTAATTCAATTTTAGAAATTTTTAATTACATTATTTAATGAGTATTCAATTAATTTAAGTATATGTATTTGGATTGAAATTTTTTTGATACTTTTTTATATTAATGTGGGGCCTCGATTTTACATTTGAAATCGGGGCCTCTGAATTCATTAGACGGCCCTGCTGAGAACTCACTCTATCACGACGTAGTGTCTGAGAAGACCCTATTGTGGTTGTAGATGTCTTGGAAAATTGAAAGGCGGTCATGTATCCATAGTCTACTCGATCCAATACATCAGCACATAGTACAGCAATGCCCGAGCATACCTCGCGATATTACTGTAAATTTATCGCCTCATCAAGTACAGCAGTCGCTCTGTCATGGATGGTATGCAAAGCCTGTGTTTGTAATGCAAACATGGTTATTAGTGATAAAACACGTGAAGAGCGACTAAGCTTGGCTAGTAATGATCGGTTGGTAGACGATAACTAGGATAGAAGAACACCTATGTGATGGTGTAATACCATCTCATGTAATCTGCAGAGACTGTGGGGACTATTGATGGGGTCCCGTTGATCGGACTAAACTTGCAAGTATACAAGTGTCAATATAGTAATAAAATACCGGTAAATGTCAGATCGATCCATAGGGGAATGGTGGATATGATAAAGTTAAGTATTGAGTGCAAAGTATAGGAATGATGAAACTTTTATGGAAATTTGTTCTTTGATATTGGTTTAAACAAGAATTATATTATTCTCCGTATCACATTAATTGCAACATTGGAATATATACATTATTCATTTACTTTACTTTGAGTGCATTTTATTTATTAATGTATGTGAATTAGTTTTTTTGAAAAATATTGTTAAACTCATCGCATTGCTAAGTTTTATAATCTGATTTTTATTTTATTTTTTCTAATACAGAATCAAATATAATGACAATCAAAGTTGTGTGTTGACAAACGTGAAATGTTGACTGTTGCAACTAAAAAGAGACGGAGGAAGTAATTACTAAGTCAGTCAGCATTCACCTAAATGCTTTAATAGGGTTTAATACTAGTTCTTTCCTAATAATTATGAATACGATGTTGCTAATATATTCCAACACCGATTAAGGCAACGGGAGTGTGGTTTCATTACGTCTAAGTCCGGTTACGACTTACATTAATCAACCGAAAACCCCGTCGGATATCAAGACATCACACTCACATCATATAAGACCGTATGTATTTATTTTCACGGTACTATACATGTTTATCCTTTAATGTTCATAGTTTAGACCTCAACGTTAATTGCAATCATAAACTAAATTTAACATACTTCTATGTTGTACACCATAGTCATAAACAATCAAAGTATAAAGGATAAATCACAATTTATTGGTTTAGAATTTTTATCAAACACCTAGTGAGCATAGAGGTTCATCCCTAGTCTTAGCTAAGAAATTGGCCTCTAATGCTCATATTAATCACAATACAACAATTAAATGTAAAGGAATATGAAATTACAAAAAAAATACCCGAACACCAATGGTTACAGAGAATAATCTTCCCTCCTCAAGAACTTAAAGAAAAATAGCAAGAACAAAATATAAAAGTTATGGAATGGATGATGATCTTGTTTGATTAGTTGAGGGATCCATATAGGCTAAGGAAACTTTCAGTCTATTCTTTTTTTTACCCCGGAAGGCAAACCACCAAAATCAGCGGGACAAATGCCGGGGGACATTTGTAGTGTTTTATTAAAAATAGAGAGAATACAAAAGAGGGGGACTATACAAATACCTCTTTCAAAAGGTAAATACAAATTAAGCTAATAATCTAAACGAAGGTAAATTAAATAAATCTATGGTAATAGCAGTCCTGACAGGCCCATGTAAATTATTCAAATCAGTCCAAGACAAGAATTGGCCCGAAGCTAGTCCAACAAGAAGATGAGCAGGTTGATTCCCTTCACGCATAACATGTCTAATTCTGATGCCTTTCCTAAAATAGACCTGCCTGAAGCCATCAATTTCCTCATTCCATCGGTCCCGATTCCTACCAGATACATAGTCCACGATATCCTCCGCATCACTTTAAACCTGGAAACAATCAAAGCCTTCATTAATCGCCCAAGTCATTGCCTTGAGAAGCGCAATCAATTCCGCATGGAGTCTGGAGCAAGCAATCATGGGAAAAGAAATGGCTCCGACGAGACAGTCTCGTTTATTCCTCAAAATCGCACCACCTGACGATCTTCGAGGTATGTAAGTTGCGTCTACATTTAGTTTCAGTCCTCACTTAGGTTTACTCCACTTAACTGGCTTAAAAATCATATGCGAAGTGAAATTGTCAGTAATGAGATTTCCTGCAAGAAGAAGATTATCAATAGACCCAAATCTGGAAAAATTGAAAGTTTTAACCCATGAGTATACAGTTTTATCTTCCAAATGGTACTCTCAACCGTAGGGATAGTATGCTGAGTACCCCAAATTAGATCAGTGTAAACTTTCCAAATATGCCAACTAATGATGCCTGGTAGATTGTGTCTAAATATATCGTTGAGGGATTTACTTCCAGCTTCAAGCCACCAAATAAAGAACATATGTCTAACTGAATGTAAATTTGAGGGAATGGAAATATTCATAATCCTGCTGAAATAATTCCAGATAGCTTTAGAGTAAGAGCATCCATAGAAAGTGTGATCTGTAGTATCTCTAGCCCTCCTACATAAAGACACATTGATGGTTGAAGTATCATGTGAAATCTATTAAGATTATCTGGGATAGGTAATATTCCTCTAAAAAGCTTCCACTGAAGTATTTGCACTTTCAGTTGTTGTTTCTGATGCCATATATGTTTGTAGGAGAAGGCTGAACCCTGGGAGTGTCTAATGACATTGAAAGCAGACTGGAAAGAAAAAAGACCATCCCGAGCAGGCTTCCAAATCAGAATTTGAGAAGTTGAATAGTCAATCAAGGAGAGTGCCAAATCATTGATGCTACACACTCTTTTCCAAACTGGTGAGTCTGTAATTTTAGGATTCATATCATCTCCTCTTTGATATTTCATATGCATAAATTGAGACCATAAACCAGAAACATATTTCCACTTCCACCACAGTTTGAGAGAAAAAGTCTTTTCCAGATCATTAAGAGAACGAATATCCAGCCCCTTCTTCCTTAGGATAGCTCATCTAGACCACCCTAGCCAGTGATATTTGGGTTTGTCATTACTAGAACCCCAAAAGAAATTTGCCATTTTCTTATTTAAGATTCTTTTAATTTTTTGTGGCAGAATATCCACTGCCAAAATATGCATTGGAATAGATCCCATTACATGCTTGATCAAGATAAGCCTTCCTCCTTGTGACAAATTCTTTTGTTTCCAAGTGGATAGTTTGGAATCAAATTGTTGAATTATATGATAACATGTCTATTTATTCCTCTGTGAAGTTTTGCCCCCGGGTATTTCAATGGAAGATCCGTTTTCTGCATTCCCAAGAGGTCTTTTATGATCTGGCTTCTAGCATGAGCATGTTTCCCAATTACAAAGGAGCTTTTATCAAAGTTGACAGCCTGGCCTGAAGCCCTTTGGTAATGGGTAAGAAACTTTTTAAAATTGAGAATAGATCTAGAATCCCCATTCAAGAAAATTAGCAAATCATCAGCAAATCCAAGATGAGTAATAGGGACACCATAATTGCCAATCCAATTTGGCTCAATCTTACCATTAGCAACCTGCAAGTTCAATCCTCTAGAAAAAGCCTCCGAAGCTAAAATAAAAAGAAAGGAGGAAAGAGGATCTCCCTGTTTAATCCCTCTCTTTGGCTGAAAAAATCCATGAGGACTGCCATTAATCAGAATAGATAAATGAGTGGATTCCAGATTCTGTAAAACCAGATTAATAAAGTGGTCATGAAAACCAATTTTTTTCAGAACTTTAGTGAGAAAATCCCAGGACAGTCTATCAAAAGCCTTTGCCATATCAAGTTTGATGACTAGATTAGACCCCTTAATCTTTTTGTCAATAACATGAATTATCTCTTGGCCT